CTTCACTAAATGAGAATCTGAGGTCGGGAGAACACGTACATTATGTAGTGCAAAAGCCGTTCCCGCCGCCCTAGCGTTCCACAGTCCAACTCTACCGCCCTACATCTCTTGTTGCGCCAGTTCCCCCAAATACGCTTGCCGCTGCCACCACCTCGTCCCGCCTGTGCCCATCCACCCACGCGTGTGTGCCCGCCGGCTTCGCCGCCACCTGAGTGGCTTCTCCACCAGCCGCCCACGCCAACTCCCGCTCACGCAGGCCCCCCACTCACATCTGCTATACTCGTCGCCCCTCCGGCCAGGCACTTCCTGCCTGCCCCACGGGAAAAAAGCGACGAGGACGTGACGCCGTCGCTTGTCTTAGTCACTGGGACGTGACTGCAGGACAGGAGCGTCATGTGAGATGGTGACCTGGGCTCAGATGAGGGGGAACAGGCAAGGTTATGGGCGGGAGCTGGAGGAGACAGGGTCGTTGCGAATGAAAGAGGAGTGGGGAGGGGTCTGGGAAGGGAGTGTGAAGAGACACGAGGGAGGAATGGCTGGTTTGACTAGGCAGGGAGAAGGGATAAAGTGAGGGAAAGCCGGGTGAGACGTAGCGATGGACACGGTGGGGAGGCGTGGGCGCGTGCGTAGTGGGCGGGGTGGGCACGCAGGCGTGAGACATAGTGCAGCAGAGTGGACTCGAGTGTGATGAAGGGGTGCGCGGAAAAGGAGTGAGGGTCGGGGCTTAAGAGGAGCGTGGGAGAGTGGAGTGAGTGCTAGGAGGGAGCGAGCTGTGGCAAAAGCTGACGCAAATAGGGGGAGGGATGGGTGACGTAGATAAAGCTGAAGGGAGAGTTGGACACGTTGGACGAGAGTGGCGGAGCGGGTGCCGAGGAGGAAGCGAGGTGTTGGGTAGCGATTGTCACGAGCAGGGGGTGAACGCGGGGTGAGCGTGGGCGGAGCGGGGGGCGAGCGAGTGGGCGAGCGTGAAGCGAGCGGGGGCGAGCGGGGTGGCTAGGCTGGCGCGGGGGCCGTGCATGGGGCGAACGAGGGTGAGCTGCGGAAGGCGAGTGGGAGCGAGAGGAGGGGCAGCTGGGCGGGAGCGGGGAGCGAGCGGGTGAGTGGGGATGGCGAAGTTGGAAGGGGAGCGAGCAGGAGTGGAGCGAGGGTGAGTGGTGGGTGAGCGAGGAGGTCAAGCGGGGCGAGCGGAGGGGGCGATCGTGGGCGAAAACCGGGGGCGAGCGGGGTGACGGCGGGAGGAGAGACCGGGAGGCGAGCTGGGGACGAGTGGGATGGTACAAGAGGGGAGAGAGCGGGGCGAGCGGTGGCCGAGCGGGGGGCGAGCGTGGGGCGCGAGGCGGGGGGCGAGCGTGGGGCGAGCGGGGGGGGCGAGCGGGGGGCGAGCGGGGGGCGAGGGGGCGAGCGGGGGGCGAGCGGGGGGCGAGCGGGGGGCGAGCGGGGAGCGAGCGGGGGGCGAGGCGTGGGGCGAGCGGGGGGCGAGCGGGGGGCGAGCGGGGGGCGACGGGGGGCGAGCGGGGGGAGAGCGGGGGGCGAGCGGGGGGAGCGGGAGCGAGGCGGGGGGGGCGAGCGGGGCGAGCGGGGGGCGAGCGGGTGCGAGCGGGAGCGAGCGGGGGGCGAGCGGGGGGCAGGGGGGGGCCGAAGCGGGGAACGAGCGGGGGCAGAGCGGGGGGCGAGCGGGGGGGGCGAGCGGGGGGCGAGCGGGGGGCGAGCGGGGGCGAGCGGGGGGCGAGCGGGGGGCGAGCGGGGGGCGAGCGGGGGGCGAGCTCGGGGGCGAGCGGGGGGCGAGCGGGGGGCGAGCGGGGCGAGCGGGGGGCGAGCGGGGGCGAGCGGGGGGCGAGAAGGGCGGGGCGAGCGGGGGGGGGCTGAGCGGGGGCGAGCGGGGGGCGAGCGGGGGGCCGTGCGGGGGGCGTGCGGGGGGCGAGCGGGGGGGAGCGGGGGGCGAGCGGGGGGCGAGCGGGGTGGGCGAGCGGGGGTTTGCGAGCCGGGGGCCGAGCGGGGCGAGCGGGGGGCGAGCGGGGGGCGAGCGGGGGGCGAGCGGGATGGGGCTAGCTCGAGGCGAGCGAGGCGGGGGCCAGCGGTGCGGACGGGTCGTGGTGGCGACGGGGCCGGAGGGGTCATGCAAGTTGCAGCGGGGCTGATGGCGGCGGCGCGGAGGCTGCGAGCGAGGCAGCTGCGAGGGCGAGAATCATTGATGCGCGAGCCGCCTTCGCCGTCCGCCTCCCCGGGCTCCCACGGCCGGCGCGTGGCCTCGGCCGCTGATTCACTCCGCTCACGCGCAACTCCACAAATTAGAGGCTTCATTGAAGAGACTACAAGTAAAAAATTGTCAGACCACGTTATTCAGATCTTTAATGAAAAAAAATTGCAAGTGTAGCAATGTGCAAATGTGCAATGTAGTAGGTGTAGGTTTCAAAACGCTAATCTATATAATTACTAACACGCATTTATTACATACATATGTACGTTAGTCCAAATAAAGGATTTTCAAGGGCCGAAAACTGGCGGACATACAATTTGTCCATTTTTTGACACTTTTAACCTCACATTATATAATTACGAATTTTTTATTTAGGAAGCATTAAAACAAATGAGATTTTTCTGACAATACACAATTATATTGAGTTTGAGGGTACTTTCCACTAAAATGAAGAGAATAATAGTTCTCAAAATTATCATATTAATAATTTGTTTTTGACATAAATAGTGGCATTTTGTGGTTATCATCACTTCATAAGTGAATAAGAAGAAAACATTTTTTAAAGATGGTTTCCATTTTTTCAAAATTCTCTTACAATTTATAGTGATGTGAGTAAAAGGAATACCCTGTTTCCTATTTCCTAAAATTACATCGCACTTGAAATCCATTACAGTTCACGCAGTCTGCGAGTTCGTGTTCGTGACTCTGCGGAGACATGTTCTACGATACACGCTTTTATTTGAATTGGGCCTACTGCATCGAAAACGTAAGTTTCCGTGGAAACGCTACCAGATCCTCACTCACTATCTCCATAAATTCTCGGAATACGCCTGGTATTGTCAGTCGTGATTCGCTCTTCACTAACGTCGATGTTTCAGCCGCCGCTTCAATAATTCTCCTTCATTGACCTCCTGCGTGCGGCCCCCAATGTCTCCCGCATCGCCTGCTCTAGGACCTCCTCTGCGCCGTGACTTCCAGGGGTCGCTGTGCCTCAACACAACGCACGCCGAGTGCTCGTCTTATTACGCGCGGTTCAAAAGCAAATCATCCACTGCTCGTATGCTGACAGGGGTGGTAAAAGAGTGCATCATAATGAGAGTTAAATATATGGGTGAAAACTTGAACGGTATAAGTGACATTTTATAAATTCTGAGAAACCAGTAGTTTATGCAATTGGTTTATAATGTTAAACTTTGTTGCATGAGTACATGTTTTGAAGACGAGCGACGTTAGGAGCGAGTTTTTAAATATTTACAAATGTAATAAAACAACATTATAAACTAGTTGCATAAACTACTGTTTGCTTATCACGCGCGGTTCAAAAGCAAATCATCCACTGCACATATGCTTACAAGGGTAATAAAAGAGTGGATCATAATGAGAGTGAAATAAATGGGCGAAAACCAGAACGGTATAAATGACATTTTATAAATTCTGAGAAAATAGTAGTTTATGCAATTAGTTTATAATGTTAATTCAATTAATGGAGTTTCCAAGTATTTACGAATGCAATAAAGCAACATTATAAACGAGTTGAATACGCCATTTTTTGTATAACAGCATTATAAATTTACAAGAGAATCAAACTTAATTTTGCGAAACAACTGTCTTGTGACGTCTTGGGTATTTGACATCTGTGCAAGATAAGTGTGGTCGGCTGGTCCGTTTACCTCTACCTCCCTAAATTCTTTCAATGCGTTTGGCTAAATGTGTGATGACGCAATCATTCGTGCCATAAGAGCTGATACGTCATCCTTTGCGCTGTAAAATTCCCAATTATGAATAATTTCTTGCAACAGAAAAGGTCGTTTATAATGCTAATACACAAACGTGTTTATTTTACGCTATACTGCAATGGCAATGTATTTTCGTGATTTTAATGAACATTTGAAGTGTGTTTTTAGTGCTGAAACAAAGCACGACGACGTTACAGTAGTATTGACTTAAATAAGCAGATTTCTCAGAACTTATAAAATGTCACTTATATCGTGCTAGTTTTCACCCATACAAATTGTTTTGATTACGATGATGGTAGTTACACGTGGTAGTACAAGAAGACAACCACGTAGAAATCAATGGCCCAAGCACTCGTGACGTTCGCGAACAGGCAGCCTGCGGCAGAACGCACTCACACGATGGGGCAAGTTCGGTTACGAGCCCGAGTTTACGTTACTGACATTACATCAAAGTGCAAACATGTTTAATCGTTAAAAGACGAAGGTATAGCATATGATGGAAAACGACTATAATACTATAACCCTATGACTGTCACGTATGTTAATATCAAAATTCTTCTGCCAGAAAACGCCCGTTTTTTCGCTTTTCTGAGAAGCATTCACATCACGACAGAGGAAATATTAGGAAAGAAACAATTTTGCCAACTAGTAATAAGAATTTCAAACGCTAACTACAATACGTTACACTCAGAGATCATCCAAGGTTGACTGTTTATGCAAGGACAGCGAGAAACTTGTATTAAGGCTATACACAAATCTCCACCACCACCACCACAGCGTGTGCATCAGAATTATACATATTGCCTCACTTGGCGGGAAAATCTGTATCAATTTGATTCCCGTAGGGGACATTTGTGCCCGACTGTTGATTGTTCACCTTCCTATGTTACCGTTCGAAAAATTTTTTATAAACATTTCTTTTTTTCTTCTTTTTATTCTAAGACTATCTGCTTCAAACGTGTGTAATAGAATTTTGACTGGACCCTTTTTTAAAAGTATTCGTACGGATAATATTCGGTAAAATAGAGAACCGTTGAGATTGTCCGCCCGCTGTGATCTCGTCTGGAATGGCAGAATGGAGGCCGCCGCCAGCGCCGCCGTGTGGCCGCGCGCGGGGTTCACGTGCGGTCGATGCTTTCAGAGCGGCGATGGCTCTTGCGGCTTCCCGCCCTCCCGCCCTCCCTGCATTTGGATTGGCGCTGCGCCCTCCCCTCCGCTTCCCTCCCCCTCCCAGCAGGGGGCTCAGAGCCTCTGGTTGCGAGCGCCGGGAGGGCATTGGAAATGCCCACCTGCCTCCGCTTCCGGTTCAACCCACGTCGTTAGTTCCCACAGGGGTGCAGCGGCAGCGGAATCCAGTTGTCGTAAGTTGGATGTACATTCTTTGGAAAATACAGATTGTATGAGAAATTGTTGTCTTCAGAGTAAGCATAGCATTTTTGATAACTTTATTCAAATCAAAATTAGACAATTTCTTATTTATGCTTGCATTGTCTGGGGTAGAGCCGCCAAATGTAACTTAGAGAAAATCCAAGTAGTTCAAAATAAATGTTTAAGGCGCATAATTAAAACACAATAGTACGTGTCAAATAAACTAATTAGCAACTAACTGAAAATAGAAAACCTGAATACTTACATTAGAGCAATAGTATAATATTTTGGGGAACTACGAAAAGGGGAATGTGTTAAGAAAATTAATCTAGGACGTTCAGCAGAAGACATCAAAATTATTTCAAGGTACTCCAAGGATAAAATGCGCCCACCTCAAACACTTCAATAAAAATGCAAAATTAATAGAAATACTTGTTAATCATAGAAACATAACATTAAACAACAAAATGATATGCACAGGATGATGAACATTAAAAAACAAAAAAATAAATATTAAAAATTCAAACACTAAATTAAAAAATTAAAAGGGAGCTTCAACTAAATGAACTCCCCACATTCCAAGTTCTGGCATTAAGAAATGCAAACGCTTGCCAATCAGTGGATTAAACAGATACACAATAAATCTATTAAAAATTGCATCTTTATTAATAAATTAAGTTTTTCATGAAATATGCATTAATTTACAAGTTTATACTACGCAGTACAAGGGTGAAAGAACTTATTTACAATTGTACACATCTGTGGTGAATACTCTCTCGAAAGGTCGTCTGCTGTCCTTGCCCGGAAAAGAGAATGTTCAGAGTGATAGCTTAGATATACAACGTAAGTAAAATAGTTGTACGGACTTTGTAAGACTGCTTGTCACTCACTATCACTGTGTGTTTTTTGCCAAACTTTTGCATAGCAACGGGAAGAGCATATCGTTGTGCTCGTGGTGCACGACGGAACAGACTGAGGGCAGAGCTTAGAAGAACATTCAGGGAGCGCTGGGCGCGAGGAGATGGGTTTGCATCATTGCCTGCCGCCCCCATTGCCTTTGGGTAGCAGTAACAAGCATAATGACTGTTTCTATTATATCGTATGAAATTATCTTGGATATAAAACACCCTGCCTGGATCGCCATTTAAATTTTACTTTCTTGTGTACGTACGTATATATACGTAGTATAGAGAACGTTATGAAATTCTATGGCGGAATAAGAGAATCATTCGACCAAATTATTCGTATTGTGGAGACCTGACAAAGGGAAACTAGATAAATTTTCTTTCGATATGTAACCAATTACTTCCTCTATCACACTGAGCAGTCAGAATTCACGATGTGTGGGTGTTTGATACAGAAAAATTATTGGCTTAAGGCAAAACGTCTTTCTGTCTGATCGTTCACTTGTTCATAGTTCTGTCTGTCCGTTTGTCCGTTCGTCCATCCGGCTCATCTCCCCATTAGTGAACAACTTTCGCACCTAAACTACTCGTAGGAATTTTGCCAAAAGGAATATTCCTGGATCTTTCTGAACAGGCTCAATTTCCTGTGATTTTGAAACTAATTCTTTGAATTTTTGGGGTATTTTACATGAAGCCCCTGAGCGTTTTCAAAATTGTCTCAAATTCTGTCGCGTCGTGTTTGAATGCGTCATTTTAAAAAAAGTTCTTGTAAGAGCAGAGTGAAAAACACTCATAAATATGGTGTAGGTTCGAATTTCAATGTTAACTTTACATTTAAGTTAGAAGTTAGAAAAATATATCCCCTTCGTTCAACTTCATTCTTAAACACAGCTTTTTCTCCTTCAAAAAAAAAATGAAATCTAATATTAGTTGTTTAATCAATGTCATGTGTATTTTTGAAAGAAAGTCAATTGGTTTTCATGTAATTTTTGTAAAATATGAGCAATTTTAAAACAAGATTTTCTGACAAATGTCTCCAAAGTTTTTCCATAAGCTTTTTATTTAGATAGTGCTAAATGCTCTGAATAACAAAACTTTACATAATGAGATCCTACCCAAAATATTTTGGGTTGTGATTAAAGATATTTCGATTGCCTAAGTAAAAAGAAATTTCTGATTGAAGTTTCCAGTTTTAAAAGTGAAATGACTGAAGATTGTATAAGAATGATCGTAATCCCAATAATTATCTTCATTAAAATTAACTGATAGTAGAGAGAATAGAATGTTATTTTCATTTAAGAAATTTATCCCTAAAACAGTAAAAGTACAAACCAAAGTACATTCTAGAGTAATTATGTGAAAACGCTGTTAGAGATATGGACATTCACAGGAAAAGGTATATTTTATTCCTAGATACGTGGAATTCCGTCATTATATTGATTGAAAAAAATTGGAAGATGCTCAACCTCAATAAGTCATTTGTGAAGAAAGTTGCGGAGGTTGCATTTTTTTTCAAAGATAACGTTACGTCACGCAACAGCTTTTCTCATACGATCTTGTATAATGTAAAATGTAAGCCATTCTCCTCAAAACCAAAAACATCAAAAGCAATGTCTCACCCAGTCTCACCCCATTTCTCGGGCTGGTCAAGTATTATCTGATCAATTGTTTCTCAATTAATCTCTTCTCTAGCTCCGCAAATAGAAAACTTGGCAAAAGAAATGTTAAATTGTGTCTTTGCATGTTAAAAATGGCGATCATTCAGGAGGAAAGTAAATTAAACTGGAATACAAATGGTCTTAAGTGGCAAGAAAACATATTGAGATTCTGTTCAAAAAGCATGGTATCGAAATAACCCTATTTCAGTGTTTCTTTCTTGCAAAATATATTCATATTATTGGCAAAGAGTTTGTGCTTCTGTTTTGAATCGTTGAGGGCTTTTTGTTTACGTATGGAAGAGACATTAAGAAAGTCATAAAATTTAATCCTGAGGGACGCCACGCGCAATCAGCAATGAACGGGAAAGGTGAGTAAATAATATCCCACCATTCCGGTACAGTATACTCTCCGTGATTGTTGTACGAGTATAAGGTACGAACATAACTAATGTAGAGCATTGCCTCGAATTCCATTCGTAGGTAATTGTGAGTGTAAAATTATATATGATTAATGATGTCAAAATCTTTAAAAAAGAAAATGTGGTTGTTTTTGCAGATTTTAATTTTCTAAATCCATGTTGGCAATCTGAAAACGCTTCGTATTTTCTGAGAAAAGTGCGTAAAAATGCGTAATATCTTTTTAACTGACAAAAGAGAAATTGGTCGATAATTTTGATTTTCATTTTTGTTGCCTTTCGAACTTACCAAATACCACCAAAAGACAGTCACAGTAAAGCATATGTAACCACCTGCAAAACTGAACTTACTCATATACCTTTTTGCACACTTCTTTATATGTGCATTGAATTACTGATATGCACACCACACTCTTTCAGAAAATACCTTCCTGATTCTGCAGATCAACCTCTAAATTGTTTCCTTCCACAAAGCTTTATGCATCTCGATTCATGAAACTGGTTATATTCTTGGAATAAAAGGAAAAGGGGGAGGGCGTGTACACTGAGTTTCACAACATCAGTTTTCGGTGAAACCTCACCCCGTTTTCATTCACACAGGCGGAGAAAATGTCACCAGATCTAAAAACTACAGTAACAGAAATGGTTCCTTACACTTATCCACTCAGTGATAGCATTTCAACTATTAATTTATTTTCCAATTTAGGTCTGTGATGCCTTCGCACTCATTGGGAAAACAGCTGCCACATTCCGCAGGTCGCTCTCTAAATTGTTTCCTTCCCCCAAAGCTCCATGCGTCGCGTCGCTGCTGGGGTTCGTTGAATGTTGTGGGAGGGCAAAGGGGATTGTATGATTAAATTGTAATCGCAGGCGCGAGTGATTTCGGTCACGTTCATCCCAATTAATCCCGCCCCCAGGTACGGCACGCGGCTGTTGGGTGGGAGGAGGCGAACCACTCGCGCAACGGCGCGACGCGCTGCTTACACTGACATCTACGCCGACACTGAGTTTTAGCGGCTCCCAGGGCAATGGATTGCTAACCTGCACTCTTAGTACAGGTCGCAACTTTCTAGTAGACGTTTACGTCTTTGAGAGGTTTTCGCAAATTGTGTAAAATAACACAAAATAAGACATCTAGTGCTTACCCCTTACGTATTTTATAACATTAAAATTAGGAAATATATTGGTTATAAACGTTTTAAATTTGGGGAAATAATTTAGTAAAATATATTTTTCTTTATCCATAGAAAAAAGTTAATAAAAATTAGATCTGTTTTTGAGACTTTTTTATTAATTGCATTAATTTCAAGCAGAAATTACAAAAAAATTACAAAAAATTCTATCTTCAATATTTTACTTTTGTAATGTTAGTTTTTTAATTTTTGAAAATTCAGAAATTTAGCAGGAAAGGGGACAAGACAAGTACAAGCACCAATTTGTATGCATATGTGTGGAATGGGGAAAAATTGGGGAGGAAATTTAAAGAAAAAATTTAGGGACATTTGAAAGAAAATAACTTGCTTTATAAGTTAAAATATTTATAGGAAATTTGCCGGGAGTATGCAGCAATTAATCTATTTATAAGTTTTCTTAGCAACAATAACTGTGGGCTGTGTAGAGACAAACACGGAATTTCAGCGCGGGGGTACACTAGAGTTAATGCCTTTTCTTGAGTAGGAGATGAATGTGTTAAACACACAGCCAATGCGCGGTACTTCAGCTAGTTTCACAACATATTTTCCAAATGAAGAATCAGTTTTATTTATAATTAACATTATACATAGTAATGTTTCTAATCATCTTAATATTTTTCACACTATCAGTATACTAATGTGCGATATCTCAACGAACTGAATGTCTGACGATCGAAATGTGTATGGGCATCTGATACTGCGCTAAGCGGTTGTTTTCAGTTTGTTCAGTTTCCCACGTAATATATCCATGCAGTGAGTGGCTGAGGGTTACTCCAAATACACACTGAATACATACAGGGAATTTCAGCTTCTTACAAGATTTCAGCTTCAAAGTTTATAAAAAGTTCTAACTTCTAGATTTTAGAGAAAAAATACATGTAGTTGGAAGTGGAATTGCATATTTTTTATTGGCCATTGTTCAGCGTTAGTTATTCGCCATGGCAAGTAAAATGTTTTTACGCCCTTATTTGAATGTATGGTCTGTTCAGTCATGTAAACGATGGAATTTAAATAGGGGTCTTGAAACAAATGAAAGTGATGTGAATTCATAGACTTGACTAATTTGTCCTAAGGATATCTTACTATCTATTTTTGTCTCACCACGAAATGTTTGAAATACATATATATGTGTAGCTAGAATGCAATAAAAGGTAACTTAACTAACTCCATTTTAAGAAAAATTACTTGGACAAATACCTCGATTAAATTTAGTCTATTGCAAATTCAATTAAAAGGGTGATATATTTAAATAAACAACGCGAGATCTTTGATATTTGGCGTTTAGAAGTATCAGTTCTTTCAATATTCTTGTAGTGACGATACTGGAACAAAACAAATTACTCCTGAAAAAATACTCCTAATCTCGAACTGCACAAACTGAAGTCGCACATTGTTGTGTAGTAGAATTCGTGTCTCAGAGACAAGAGATCATCGGCGGTACTCAATTGCTTTAGAACAAATAACAATCGTCTACTTGTCTAAACAAATCAGAAAACAAAGAAAGAATGGGAGAAACCTCACGTGCTAAAACATCACATACTTTCTCTCTCGTATTTGAAAGCAAAATAATGCGTTAAATACTCAAATTTTCGCAAATTTCTACAGGATCTTATTTACAAATCTATCTTTAAGGAACAGGTTTGATTAAGGGAAAATCTCTATCTTCATAAT